GCAATTGCACTGGAGAAACAAAGAATCTGATATTCAGAATATCCTACCTCGTGTATATTAGAAACTTCTCTTACAAAGCATACTAGTAAGTATGGTGTTTGAATTTTTTAAACATTTAATAAGGCTGATAGAACAGATTCATATTCTTCAGGGATACTACTCTGCATTAGAAAATATGCTTGTGTACTTTCTTTTTTACTCTGATCAAAAAGAAAAAAAAACAAGCAAATTCCTTTAAAAATTGTTACAGTCTAAGAAAAAGTTTTAAAAATCACACATACATTATCTCAAGTATAACTGCTGTCAGATTAAGTCGAGTTAAAGTGAAATTCAAATAAATTTCAGTGTAGGAAGAGATGGAAAAACATGAATAGTGTACTTTTGTGGTAATACAAAGACAGTTTTTCTGTGAAACTTCAGACACAGGACACAGTGGCCTCAGAAGAATGTGAAAGGAAATGGGCTGACTACACAGACAAGTCATGTGTGTAGAAAAGTCTTGCTCACTTTCTAAAATCTGAGATTTTCAGGCCATCTCTTCATGCATAGGTGAAACTTCAAATGTTGCTCAACTTGTTCCATAACACAAGTAACAATGAAAACAACTGAAACTCTGGAAGTTCCAGAGGCAACAGACATACAAAGTATGTCTATATGAATTTCCTCAACGCTCAACGCTCTTTTTCATCATTGAAACTCCAAACTCAGTAAAACAACGTACAAGCAATTATGCAGCTGAAACACTCATGGAGATCCTTGCAATCTTCCTTATGGTAGAAAGCAAGTTAGACTTTTTTCTGTAGTCTGTTACCCCTGTGAAGTGACCAAAAATAGGTCACTTCTATCAGTTCTTGAACAAAGAGGAAGAATTTACATCTACTGTAAATCAGTGAAAAACCTAGAATTATACTAATGCTCTAACATTTATTTTATAAACTTGAGCTTGAAGTGCATCTACACATCATTATATGACTGAACGAAATAATTCTGCAACTTCACCTATCTCAGCTGATGGCAATCACTGTCCAGCAAAATTGACTGAAACTGTTGGTTGTGCTTTGTGCTTTTATCCACACTGCCTGAAGTAAGCTTTTAGCTTAATTCATTTAGCTCTGCTACTGGTGACAGAGGTGTAAGCTACACAATTTATATAACCAACAACTACGGTCTGCTCTAATGGTTACACAATACAGCGTGAAAATGATAGTGATGTTGACTACAGTCCAGTTTCTACCACTCAAACATAACTAGAATTGTGTTGGTGGTGTAATACAAGTGCTGTTTTTCCTAGCCTAGGCAAGGCTATCACAATCAGAAATATTTCAGCTTGATATTTGATTAATGCTGGCATTACTCTGTGAGTGATTTCCACTCAACATCTAATTATTTAATTATTTCCTATTATTAATTGAAGGAAACAATTCAAAACAAACAGCCAGAATGACTGTTTTTGCAGGAAGCTCATAATCATCAATTCATACATGTAGAAATCTTCCTAAAATTATATTACTCTGGCCTGTTGAACTTGAAAGGCATATTTTATCCCAATCAATGCATAAAAGTAAAATTATCCATAACTAAGGCATGTTTCTCTGCTGTACAGTTCAGCTGTAATGATCCCCACACACTGCACTTGCACATCAATTATGATAATCATAATCACGGTCGTTAAGCTGAATGTTCATTATTATCAGGATGCTGGTGACAGCAGATTCAATCATCGGGTGCAATGGGCAGGCAGTCACAGTCCCACCCAAGTTTCTGCAGACAGCGTTGTGCCACATTAAATCTATGATGTGTTCCACATCCCACTCCATTCCAAAAGCTGTAGACGGTAAAGGTCAACTTTATGTTCTGTGCAATATGCTTAGGTTCTCTAAATTAATTCCTTGCAGTACTGGATATTTTTATGCTTTGTAGATAATAAAATTGTGTTTAGGGCCAAAATGCCTCTGCAAATAATGAAACAGCGATGCAGTTGTACTGTAATTCACCTCTAATAAGGCATCAGAGGAAAGAATATTTCAGCAAAGAATGTCTTCAGACATCATGTCCTGAATTTTCCAAATAAGAAAACATTTAATGCTGTCATTTAAGTCAGTTTTCTAAAATGCATACGCAAACTAACTCCAATACCAATTAAAGGCTGTAAGCTATCATTTCTGCTTCAGTAAATATGAACATATGTGAGTGTTTTGACAACTGAAAGATTATAGTTAGTGTATTTGATCCCCTGACTGTCCAGCTATTTTGGGACCTATCACTATAGATTAAACTCACAGTGCCTGGTAATATTTTTTTTAATATTGGTATTTCTCACATATAAATCAAAAGCATTCCAAGGTATTTAGATATATATTGTTTCAACTTAAAAAGTATGCATGCATACTTTTTACATTTTATTTTTATAGTACTCTACAACTAGATAAAAACATACTCTTCCCCCACTAGAAGTACATTATTATTTACATTTCTTAATTTTTTTTGTTTTTGTTGAGAACAGAACTAGTTGTCCCTTAACAGTAAGTTTATAAACAGTTAGTTTTTTGAAAGCTACGTGGAAGTATTCCAGATGAAGTATTACAAGGCACTATTTTTCATTGTTGCTTATTTTGCTTCTGAAGTAATTACATAATTTGCATACTAATTCTGTAATTTGAATTAAAATGCTTATATATATGTGAAAGTCTAAAGGAAATACAGCAAGGACATGCACATGGACACAGAAAAAGCTTTTTAATATATAGTTTTTTTAAAAAGGCAGTTAGTATCAAAATAATACTTCAGCAGATCAGAGGGTTATTGACCCACTAACCACGGAACTGCCTTCCTGGAAGAAATTACACCATAGTTTTTCTTATCAGCAATGATAAGAAAGATTTATGTAGTATACTACTTTAAGAAGTGGAATACACATCCTGGCAATTATCAGTTATTCAGGCTGTAATACTGCATTACCATAAATATCATCTCATGGAAACCCCCCAAAATGGCTGTATTAAACAGATGAATTGTTAAGCAAAACTCTGAAATGAAGATTAATTTTGATTTACAATTAGAGTTGGAAGGCTGTTTGTCATGTTGAGTTAATGCATACAGCTATACATCTCCAGAGATTTAGGTTGAAACATATCCAAGATCAAAAGTCACTTTAGTGATATCAGATAAGTTCCATAATTTATATAATACATATGATATATGTATATATATATATCATATAGGATATACAATATAACAACTTTTACATTTTTTGATATTGTCTTTTCAGTCTGACCAAGAACTGCTAAGGACTGGAAGAGGGAGAATCTTTACACTGTAAGATAAGTATGACCAACAGATCTTTATACTGTTTTACATACATATATCATGCTCATGCAGTTGGACTCCAATCAAGTCCATCCTCCCCTAATTGCTTTTGAAAGACAAATTCATCTTTTTATTTGAATGTTGATTTTCATGTTTTTATTTGCAATGCAGTTTAACTATTTCTGTATGGTAAAATATCAAAATGTTACCATGATCTTTTTTTTAAAACATAACACTTTGAGAAAAAATATGATTAAAAGCATTACTTCTCAAACTAAATTTAATTGAAACTTATTATATATATATACAAGGATAAGTTAGTTCCAACAAAGTAAGTAATCACATCTTAAAAATTCTCAGAATTACTTAGGTTGAAAGTGACTTCTTCAGATCACCTATTCCATCCCCTTGCTCAAGCAAAACCTGCTAGAGCTGGTGGCCCAGGATTGTATCCTTTAGAGTTTTGAATATCTGCAATGAAATGAAGGAAATTTCAAAACCCCCATGGGCAATGAGTTCTAGCATTTGACCACCCTCACAGCATAGACTCAGTAGACAGTACTAAGAGTATGGTTCTATCTTCTTCATTTCTTCCCACTAGGTATTTAAATACATAAGCGAGACACCCCTGACAATCTCCAAACTGAAGAGTTCCAGCTCTCTTAGCCTCTTGTATAAAAGATGTTCCACCTCCTTTATCATCTTTGAGGCCTTACACTAGAACTGCTCTGCCAAATCCATATCTTTCTCATACTGGGAAATTATAATGTGATTCTGATATCTAATGAAAAAACAGTAATACAAACACATCTACAAATTCATGTTAGAACACTGTTTTGGCTCATTTGCACCCTTTTTCATGAATTCTACACTACTGTAATATTCTAGCAGTGTATTCCTTTTCCATCTAGTTTCAGAGAGTGTGCTTGGTTTTGCAGGAATTGACACATGGTAAAAAAAAAAATCCTTTCTTAGTTTTTGTACAAACCTACTGTGAAGATTCAGAAGTTCTGAACCTTTGGTTTCCTAATGCTGCTAAGAATCTGAAAAACAGTAAGAAGCAATTGTTCAATTTTCCTTTTTCTGTATCATGCTTGGTGAATCATGGAACTTTTTGGACTTTTGAAATCTCATAGTGTATTAGGTTTCGACCACTGAAAATAGGTTACATAACGTTGAAAGTTCTGAGGAAAACTATTTCCTATAGCAGAAAATTGGAAAATACGAGATGTTTCTGACAAAGAAGCCAGTTTAATGAAACCATCTTAAAAACAATTTTTCATCCACTTGTACTATTTTTTGAAGAATATATGCAAAAAAATAGTTCTGGTCTATTTTTTTCTGTAATTTTCTGAAGGTTTGTCTGCCTATGTAAGAGTAAATAAATGTATTATATCTTAAATGAGGAAAGGCAGAAACAGAACAGAAACAGCAAAACTTTACAAAACTGATATAACCGGATATGTACTTAAGCATGCTCTTAAATCCATATCTAGCAGATGTGAGATGTGTTGAATTTCCTCAAATTTAATTTTCCAGAGTGTTGAGGAAGCTTGATATCTCATCACAATAGCTCAATGTGATTTTATAACATGCTAGAAAGATTGGATTTGATTATCTCAGGATTAGGTCCTATTGCACACAGTAACTTTCTAAAAAAAATCAGCCATTCTTTAACTTTTGCAGTGACTCACCTTGCCTGCTATCCACTTATTAGGCTGTACTTCTCGGAAATGCTTAATTCCGTAAGTTTCTTTGCCAATTTTTTCTGATGCATGAATTGACAGGTCATACTTCTCATTTTTATGATACGAAGAAAATGGCAAAAATCTGAAATTTAAGAATATTTAAAAATTACTACATACTACTCTGAATGCCACAGGATTTACGTAAATAAAATATCAGCAAATTAGGATATTGAGTAGACATGCATTCCTGAGATTTCCCACTCTACTTTCTTGATGTAGCACATCCCCCAAAATTAATTTGAAGAAGATTACAAAAGTTTTTCTTATAACTGCTTTTTAAAACCAAAATTGGAGCAAAGAGCTATAGAGCTTCAACAGCATATGACTAGTATTACTAGATACCTACTTTGGCTGCATATGTCCTACTAATGGATGTGGACAAGGAGGAAACGAACAAGATTCAATTTGCAGTGATTTGCTTGTTGATACAGGTATTGCAGTCCAAGCCACAAGTCAGTGGAAGGCAAAAGCCATGCAGAAGTAGAGGATTCATTTCTAGAGAACCTTGCATTTGTCTTACAAGTAGTCCAAAAGACTCACAACACAACTTCAATCTGATCATTCCATCAGGATGGAAATACTTCAAAATGTCAGCAATTTAAGTATAACCCAAATCTAAATTGCACCAGAAAGAACCCCTTCTATATATCAAAACAGAAAATGAATCCTTTTGCAACTGTTAAACAAAATAGACTGTAGTCTAGTTTGTCAGAATGAACACATATAGATAATACTATTGATATTCACATTTTGACCGAACACAAAGTAAATTAATGGTTTCTTTTAAATTTGCAAATTGTGTGATTTACTCTGAAGTGATCAGTATTTCCTGATCAGTGATCTTTTGGAGCTTGATTCTTTCATCTCTGATCATACTAGGGGTGAACTCCCTTCTTGCATACTCCCACCATAACAGTGAAATTCCAGCTACCCGCTTTGGACATATAAGTGGTTTGCAGACATCCCTAATCTCACAGACACGTGTTCAGGGTTGGACCCACAGTAAACTGTGTGAAGGAAGGTAAAGGACGCTTCATATATAAAAGATCTGAAAAAGATCCTACAAATATATTTTAGTTTCACCTCTCTATTTTAGTTTGCAAGAAAAATAGCAAACGGGTACATTTTCATACAAAGGAAAATCTCATGAAGGAAGCTCTTCATTGCTGGTATTGCAAAAAAAGCAAGGAGTGTTCTTTATAAGTGGAGAAGAATTATTATAAAGTTAGAAATAGCTGTTTCAGGAGCTTAAAGCATCACTAACTGCCACATGTGTACTTAATTAAAACCTTTTCAGTAGTTGAAAGCATTTCAGGATCTAGAGTCCGTAAGAGTTAGATAGTCAAATAATTTTATTTATTTATTTATTTTTAATTAAGAAAGGGATAATAAAAACTTTCTTTCTGTCTCTTGGCCGATACAGACTCAGAAAATTATTTATTTTCACTAAATAATCCATCAGTAAGTGTTTGGGTGGGCTTGTTTTGTGTTTTTTTGTTGTTGTTGTTGTAGTTGTTTTAAATTCCATTTCATAAAAATAAACTATTTTGCAATAGTTATAGCAATTTACTCTATCAAGTACCACAAAAAAATATTATGTAAAGTTAGCATGAGAAAAACACTGAGTTAGCAGACTTTTAAATTATACAAATCTGTAGTAGCATGTGTATACTCATGGGAAAGGACACTCTCACATAAGACAGATTATGGTACTTGTAATGCTAATTTGCACATGGGATGGACATCACAAGCACACAAAAATTAATGTGGCCCCAGTGTCCCAGAGAATACATCGAAGGTGCTGTGAGCCGGCTGCTCCACTTGCAGTTTTTATCACTTCTGAATTGCATTTTAATAGTACATTTTTCTTTTGTTCAGACATGAAAGAAAATTGGCTTTCTCAGGGGATTGGATAGCTGAGAAGACAAGGCTAGCAGTTTAGGGATTTGCCTATATATGCATAGAACTTAGTTGAGCCATAACATTCATAATTCAATATGAATACTGCATCTGTAAAATTTATACACAAAATGGAAAAAAAAAAAATGGAGAAGAGTAGAAGATAAAGTAAAGGAAAACAATAATGATTCTAGTTTTCCCTATAACAGTCCCAATGTGAAGGGCTTGACTGCACTGTGGACCATTTATTTTTTTATTTATTTATTTTGTCAGACCAGTACTCAGAGTAATCCACTAAGGTTGCTCTGAAAATAATGTCTTCTATTTTATGTTCTTGGTCCACAATGTCAGAGACAGATATTGGTGGTATGACAGTAGAGATTGAACCTTCCCACCAATATTCCATTATATTCTGTTTCCATGTGACAGATGGCAGCAGAGGGGCAATCTGACAAAACGGCATCTGACATGCAAGTGCATATCAAACAAAGGGGTATGACTGAATTCCTCCACATGGAAAAAATGGCACCCATTGACATTCATCAATGCTTGCTGGATTTTTATGGAGACCAAACAGTGGATGTGAGCTCAGTGAGGTGATGGGTGCTGTGCTTCAGCAGTGGAAACAGTAACATGAAAGACAAGCTGTGTTCCAGATGGAACACAGATGCACAGCTGTCACATCATGAAATGAAGAGTGCCTTGATCAGCTCATCCACACGAAGCAGGAGATGATGACATAGGAACTATGTGCAGAGCTGAATATCAGCTTCAATGCATTGGAAACGATGGTGGCATCATTGGAATTTCACAAAATATATGAGACATTCTTTTCAGATAAAATTCAGATAAAATCTACTGTGATTCCAAACAAATATCTATACATAGTTTTTAACATTTTAGGACTGTGAGTACACAACTAAATGTATACCCTACATGCAACTTAGTACAAATATTCCACATTCTACTCCATCTTTTCTCCAAGATCACTGACTGGAGTAAGTGCCACACAGCCTAGAACATATGTCTATGGTTGAGAAAAAAGTTAAAGCAACTATGAATTTTTTAACACTGAACAATAAAAGAATGCTAAAATTGAAGTGAAAGAACATTTAAAAATATAATAAGACATGATGGCATGAAGCAGTAATTTTATTTAATTTTTTTTCTGTATAATCACTTCTTGCTCATTAATAAGCAACGTTTAGAGTCTAAATGTCACTTACATATCATTCTTTTATAAACAGCAGCCTGAACAGAGATTACCACTGTTTCATCTTTGAATGTGATAGAAACAAAGTTGGAATGTTTGACTGTGAAAATTTCAGGTCAGAGTTATGTGAGCAGATGCTGATGAACAAGGATCTAGCTCAAGAAAAGATGTTTGCAAATTCAATGCCTGTTTAAAGCAAGCAAAAATCATTCTATGTGAATAAGTAAATAAAATAACATTACAACATTTTTGTATGTGTGTGTTAAGTAAATAACCAAATTAATGAGTCATATGGAAGTCATTATAGCCCTGTAACCAATTATATTAGTAAAAAAGCAATGGCTCTGTAATAAAATTCAGTAATGGCATTCTGTTCTATAGTTCTATATATACACCTAACACAGCTTTTCCCCAACCTCGTGCTTTGATTGTGATAGAAGAGAGTGATGGAAGGAGAAGAAAATTAAAACAGATAATGGTATAATAACATTATGACCTGCCCAAGTTAAGACCACAGTAGTTTATATCATAACAAGTTCACTCGAGTAGGATTCTCATATCTGGATTTCAGCTTTTCTTTCTCACTTCAGTGCAAATTCAGAAGTTCTTGAAGGGTTTCAGTAAAAATGACAGAAAACAGAAATAGCAGGATGAAAGAAGAATTAACTTCCATGTTGATTTCATATTATGCCATAGTCAGCATAAGCTGGACCTTTCTAAAACTTCCTGATTTAACAAGAAGTGTAAAGAAGTAAATAAAAAAAGGAAAAGTGATTTCATTTTGTCCATCGCAAAAGCTTAAATGAGATGTACCAATAAGTACAATCAAGACAGGGTGAAAGAAAGGGAACCAAAGGGAAAAACTACCTCAGGTTCTACAAATAGCAGTATTACATAAACAAAAACTGGGAGAGGACCAGGACCACAGCTGGCACTGTCAGTGGTAAAAAAGGCCAGTTGCAATTTTTCCAGGACCACAATCTGTTGGACTGAATTAGCAAGAAAAAAGACATAGAAGCCTTGAATTAGTAGACAGTCCTAGACTTGACAGTGGTTAGTGGGATATACTTACATTTCAAAAGATAGCTTAAATATCTGTTAATAAAAATAAAACTTGCATTTTCTGTTCCTTCATTCATTCTATTTTGTATCACTAGGCTGCCAGACTTAATCTTTCTAATTCTTCTTTTCCATATATTTTGCCCCCTAATTCTCTTTCTTCCTGCATCCCTTCACCTATTATTTCTTCTTTCCACTCTGTCTTCTGTCTCCAATATCTCTCTTTTTTGACAGGACAGGTAAGAGGCCTCTTAAATGTTGAAGACTTTCTAGTTAGTCTGACCAAGTTGAGAGAAGCAGCAGCAGGTACGGACTCTACTGCCTATGGCAATCCAAGAGAGAAAGCTTTCTGTGCAGCAGTGCAAACGAGGGAGGATTTGTCAGGAAATGCTGTCACAGGGCAAGAAGTAGTAGTTTTAAACTAGAGGGTAGGCGAGGATCAGAAAATAGGGAAAAAATCTTCACTGTGAGGGTGACGAGAACTTGGAACAGGCTGTTCAGAGAAGCTGTGGATGCCTCAGGTTGCCTTGACCTAACTCAAATGAAAAGAAGCTTCCTCTGACTGTAATGGCCATGAACAATTAGCTCCAAACAAACCATCTGGAAGCTGTGACTTTTCCCCTCCCCACTCCTACCCCTCTTTTGTTTTTTTAAAGAAACATAATGAATTTCAAGCTTTCAGATTCAGCTTTTACCTGAAGTCATTGCTCTAAGCCAACACTCTTCATCTTTACATTTGGAGTACAAAGCAAAAAACAATGGTTTTCCACAGCAAAACAATGGCAGCAGAGCTGCCATTATGTAGTTCATAATGAGTGTGCATTAAAAATCAAAGTTTTTTTATGCAGTATATTTTACTTAGTGCATCTAAGAAGATCAGCACAGTATTTTTGCAAGACAAACTTATTTTGGATGCATTCTTACAAATCTTGCCTGTAGTTACGTGCCACATACATATGGGCAATTTTTCAATAAGCTATCAGTCATTTTTATCCTAACAGGAGTAAATCTAAGAGTCTTTTGTCTCTTTCTTTATTTAACCCGTGTCTGCAATACCGTACAGTGACGAAGAAAAGCACTGTCTAGTTCCTATAGGAAGAAAAAGAGATCTCTTCTGTAGCAAATTCCAGAACTTCTTAATTATACAGACTTATTAATCTGCATCCCCAGTGTTATAAAGTACTAGAACTTCATTAGAAAAATTAAGATGGAAAAATGAAGGCGCTACTTTGTAAATTTCCAGTGGAAATTAGCTGGAAGAAGCAGAGGAATACTGGATCAAAAGAGGGTAATCATGCTTAACTGTGCCCTAGAGCACCCGCATGTATAATACGATTTGCACAGTAACTACCTCTCCTATTACTGCTTGTTTGGAGTATTCTGTGTTAATGGGGTTAGCTAATTTAGTAGTTTAACTTAAAAAGACTCTGCTGATTAATAAATGTTGCACACTGTGCTAGTAATTAAAATAAATGGAAGAGTTACAAATAGAAGTTGAATTGTTAAGAAAACATTATCTGAAAATATATGATAATCCCTGTTTATCATAATACAATAACAGTCCGGAAAATATGCAGATTGCTGAAGTTGCAAAGCATGTGAAAAACTAAGCATAATATGAACAAAGTTTTCAAACGTGTTATATCTGCATGACATAAAACATAGTGGCCATTTTCACTGCAGCTATGTCAGAAATAGAGTAAAAGATCTTAAAAACATACAATTGAGAAGATTTTTTTAAATCTTAAAATTTTATCAAACAAGAGCAACTTGCTTTCTTATATTTTATTACCTTTTTTGCTGTGCACATTTTGACACTGATGCCTTCAAGTACATCTTTTGAGCACATCACTGTAGCACAGAAGCACCTATGCTGGTTTTAAAAGAAAGCATCTTGCTGAAAACAAGTGCGAGACACAATGTGCAAACATTGCACTCTGCTGCACGTAACTGAATCCATGTGTTCAGGACCGGTGTGGCTGCCTCTAGTACAGCTCTGAGCACAGACAGCCAGCAGCGAGGTGACTTGCCTGATGTCACACCAGCAGCCAACAATAAATCAGGAAGCCTCAGCCTTGGTTATCACTGGCTTATCCTTATTCTATCACCACACTGCAATTCATTCTAATGTATGTGGACTTCATAAAGATATTTAATAGTATACTTTGGATCATGAGGCATATTATGTGAGACAGCTTTCGACAAAATTAATGAAAATAATTTACATTTTTGTTCTCCGGAAAATTAGGCCTGTGTACTGCTGCATACGACTGAGTAAAGAACTTTTCATGCTCAGTGATCTAAATATGCTGGATCCGGCAGTTGATGTCTCAAACTAGACACTAGTTTATTAAGTGGTCATCCCAAAGGAGTCCAATTGTCATTCCTATCCAAGTGGAGGGGGAAATCACTTCATTTGTATGAAAAATAGCACAATAAGGCAGTAACAGCTTCAATTACACAAGAAAAAGGAATCATCCTTATTAGGTTAGATTGTCCAGTTACTCTTTCAGTACAAAATAGTAAAATCCAGCAGTTGCTATAAGCATACACAAAATTTACTCATTTATTTTGCATTTGCGCTGCCGCTGCCTATCTGAATCTCTCCCATAGCTTTCTCAATTATTTCTGCATTTATCAGAAGCAAGAATTTTCTCAGAGCTTGAAACATTTAGAGACAAATGTACAAGCTGATTTCAGAGCTATTTTTTTTTAAAGAAAACATAGTGGGAATTCTGTGTTGTCTGATATAAAACCTATAAAACACTAATATTCATTCCTGAAGAATACAGATCAAGGACTCTGTTTCTCCTTACATGCAAGCACAAGCTTTCCCCACAAATACCACACACTTCCCCATTCTTTCTCTCATTTTCTAAAATAGTAGAACGATAAGCATAGGAAGCACTACCAGGAAGAAATACAGTCCCAAAGTACACAATTACATAGAAAGAGACAAGAAATTTGTCAATTCATAATAGACACTGCTGAGAAAAAGATTACTGTAGAATCTGAGTAACCCTTTGTTGACTCCTCCCTGGAGACCACCATACCACGCAGCAGCTGCGGCATTACTAGTGAGTGTTAGTCCTGATGATGACCTGCAGCTCTGTCATCACCTTTTCAAGGTTACAGATGTGACCCTTGCATGGTTGGTTGAATCTGAAGCACAAACGGAACAATCACAGCCTGAAAATGTATAATCCTCTATACATTTAGTGTGCATGAAGCTGAGAATTACTGCTTCTGTGCATTAAGGATGACACTAAATGCTTCTTTACCCATAAGGTAAATAAAGACTGCTGATCAATTTATATCTGTCAAAGTTGGCATGTCCAGATTTGAACTGTATAAATCTAAAACCTTAATGATTCACTTAGCAAAAGGAACGAGAAAAATAAATATTTCAAGATAAGACTTGAAACTGGCCACATAATGACCTTTGAGTCATTACGTGAATCTTATCAAATAAAGACTGGAGACCATATATTCATTCCCATAAGTGAAGGACTTAATTTCTCCTTATCTGGAATGCATAATCAAAATTTTCTCAGTGAAAAGAACATCTTAATCGAGAGAAAATCATTACTCAGTGTTTTCCAGATTTCAGTAAGATAAGTTACAAATAAAAATAAGTTTTAAAAAACTTAGTTCAAATCTAAACTGAGATTTGAAAATTAAGCTGCTTTTCCTCATTCTGAATAACAGCAAACACAGGAAAGAACAGAAAACTGAGGTACACTTTTAGTTTTAAAGTTTTCCTATTGCATTTGGTATAAAAGGAATGAAGATAATTATTTTTGTTGGCAAATAGAAAAAATAAAACAGAACAAAAGTAGCTGAACAAAGGGATTTCTTTTTTAAGCTGAATCTCCTTTTAATATCACTGTTAATATTCAATTAAGGAAAATATGAGAAAAGATTTAATACTCAAAATTAAAAAGTGCAAATACATTTGATTCTATCATACTAAAGTTCCTGTCCTTAAGCTAACATGTGCAATATGGAGCTGAGAGCAAAGTACCACATCCTAGTGAATCAGTGGACCATAAGATGCTCACAAGGAAAATGATTTTTTTTCTGTCCAGAATTCTGGTACTCAAATATCAAAGGATTGCTAAGAGCAGGAATTCAACAGAAAAGCTGACAAAATATCATTTGTTTCTAGTTAACTACAAAGTCAGAACAGGTGAATTAGTAGGTTTTATTATGATTGGACAAGAATGTTTCATCACAATAAAAAAGGAGCTGGAACTGTTTTAGCAATAACCTTTAATCTTTTTGGATAGATGACGTCTGTATTTGGGCTTGTATGGAAAACAAGCTGGTTTCTGTGATGCTATTACAAATGCTATGGCTCAGAAAGCCAAACTGCTTCAAAAGTTATTACAGCATTTAAAAATCATGTTCTAACATGTGCAACATATGCTTTGTTCCCTTCCAAGTGAGTTTTGATAGTCTACTTGAAGAGAAAGCAAGTTTCATTGGCATGCAACAACATTTCTCTTCCCATAGTCTGGAAAATTCCTGAATACGAGTAAAAACAGTATCTGTTCCTTGGCAAAATATGTACAGCAAAAAGGAATTTGCATTTGTTTGCTTATTTCCCATCTGTTGCATTACGTAGTACTAATATGGCAAGATCTTCTATTGATTCATAGAGATGGAAGGCACATGTCACACAATTACAAGATAAGGTCTCTGCCCTGAAGAGTTTATAATCTAAGGACAAAGATGTAGAAGTACGTACAGAGAATATTTGCTAGTAAGCTGTCAGGTTTGACATTTCATTTTGTCAGGCATGAAAGGTTTCTGAAAGCAACAGAACAAAGAAAACATTCTCATAACAATATAAGAAAAAAAAAACAAAGAACTTACTCGCTGTCATGTATACATTTTCTCCATTCCTCCCTCTTCATTTCCTCTCTGGCCTTCTCTAGTGGTGAACTGATTGATGCTGCCACTCGCAATGTTGGTTCCAAAGGCTTGTAGCGTTGCCGCAATACTTCAGCGGTATCACGGAAAGGCCCCTGAAAGGTATAGGATAATGTAAGTTCTTTACTGTGGGGCTATAGTTCTTTTTTTTCCTTCTTTTATTCATGACACATCACTGGTGAAAGAGGGCATAGAGTGTCGGGGAAGTGCAGCAAGACTTTTCTTCCAAAATAATTAAAGCAGTTCATTTTGATAGAGAGTTACAGATAACACAAAGGTTGATAACATGCTTTAAAGCCCCACAGAGAGAATGAGAAATGTGCAGCCTAGATTTATTTAGCTTCTAATAAATACTTATTATTTTAAAACAATACGTTGTTAGAACTGATTAGGAGAGCTTATTTTTTTTCTTGGAAAAAATACTGGTGAAATAAAATGTGATATACAAGTATTAGCTTCATCTAGATTCTGCTTAAGCAGAAAGTCTCTTCCTTTTCATAGGATAAATCACGTTTCACCTTAAAGAACGTGCTCTTTTCAATTTTTACTATAAAGCTATGTGGAAAGGAACTTAATACGTGACTTAAAACATAATTCTTCTAACACAATTCAAACTAATGACCATCATAATGTAACTGTATAGTCAATTTTTGAAAAGTCTAATTCCATGTTCATCTCACTAGTCTCAAAAAAAAAAAAAAAAAAAAAAAAAATCCTAAAAGCTCCTACTTATTTCATAAATGTGTGTGTATACATCTATAATATACACACATACACACACACAGTCTATAGAGAGAGTTTTTTCCCCAGGTTACATTGCTTAATAAGTGATCATACCAGCATCTACTATTTAGCAGCACAGATAAACAGCAAGAGAAAGTCCTCTCCTGTACTGTCAAAGTGACGTACATCATGTATGCCTTTTAGTACTAACCATTGTGAACTCACCTAGAGTACAATTAGTGCCATATTATGCTCAGAACAATTTAGTGGCATCTCTGGATTTAGAAGTGTTACTAATTATTTTTTATTTTATTTTCACCATTGCTGATCCTGCCATGAACTAGTGAAACCTTTGGAAACTATGAGCAGACAAAGAATCCTAATCACAGTCTTTATTCTTTAAGATATTCTTCTTTAAATAGGTTATCACTAACAAGTCACAGCTGGAGTTACTGCAAGCGCTGAGTGAAGACTGTGGGGCTAATAAAAAGAAATGATTCACGCCTCATTTATGTTCACTTATGTTTTACATTAATAGAAACCAATAATAGGAACCAGTTACCATAAAAGTCATGGACCGTAAATAACACAAATGGCAAATAAGTATCATCTAGTACTTTTCACAGCTGGACAGGAGGATTGCTATATTTGAAAGTACTTAATGGATTTTTACTGGAACTTTACTTTTTAAAGACACAGCATCGTGATTTGGAGACCTTTTTAGAGATCCTAGTAAGTAAGCAGACATATTGCTTAAACTTATTGAAGACACTTTCTTGATTTCACTTTCCTAAAGACTCGACACACACAAAAAAAAAAAAAAAAAAGAAGAAAAAGTTGATTTAGCATGACTACAATGAGTCTTTTAAAACAGAACGAAAATTGCTATTGCTTGTAAGAGAATAATCAATGCTAAAGAAGGTCATTAAAACTGGTAAACAATATTCTAGTAATGCATAAACTAATGATCAAGATATAAAATAAGTTTTAAATTCTTAATGAAATGATTGAGATACAAAATAAGTTTTAAATCGTTAATAAAATGATGAACAGTCTCTACTGTAAGATATTTGCAGAGCTGAATATACAGAGAAAAGAGGAAAGAAACTTTTGTCAAGTAATATCAGGACAGATATGTTTGCTTTTGGAAAGTATTCTTTCAGAATATTCTATTTCTTCTTCATCATAAAATATGTACTCATATTTCACAAGTGTAAGGGCCAATTCAGATGTCCAAGGAAGCTTTTTCCCCTCTCTTCAGTTTCTAAGAACTTTTAACTTTCTCAATTCATAGTTGAAATGAAATTAGTTGAACACAGCAAACACTAATGAAAGGAAGATAAAAAGAGTTTAACTATGCAAAAGGTCTCTCCAATAAGGCTGTGTCATCACTAATGAAACTGAGGCATATTGCAAAATATTAAGTTTACTCTAAACTTTCCTCTTAGATTTTTCCATTTCTCTGAGTCACGAATTTGTAGAAACTTATCTAGCAATAAGCAACTAATGAATATATTTAAGATGACAAGACATCTAAAAAAATCCATTTGCCTATTCCATTTTACAAGATGAACTTCAAAATTTGTTGTAATCTGTGAAAAAAATGTTGCTTAAAAATATTTTCACATCTCCAATGCCTGCAAGTATTTCAGCCATTCTGCTTCAAAAGGGAACCAGCAATTTTCACCCTGAAAGGCATTCACACCATATGCTATGTTTTTGAATCTGTACTGAACAGCATAAATATTATTGCTACAGATTTGTCTACCAAATAAAAGGGTCAGCAAATAGGCATTCTTACTACTTTATCATAAAGTCAGAAACTTGTGATAAAATCTACACAAACTCTTATGTTCTTTACTGTCTCCATGCCAGAACAGTCACCAACATGGAAAAAAGGAAAAAAGTCCCCTACAAATGGGAATGTGCTTTCTGTTATAAATGCCTTTGAATGAACACTGGACTAAATTTAGAATTATCTGAGCTTCCATCAAGCTGTAATTCTAGTTAACTTAGTAATAAAAATGTTAGATCTGTTATAACTAACATACAAGCACCATTAAAACACTTAAATACACTATCTTACGTGCACAGAGCTTACGCGTAAAATGCTAAACACCAATTACTCCAAGAGAATGCTAGCAGATATCTAATTTTTGTTCTTTTAAGCACATATAATTCTTATATAATACATCCAACCCTATCAGCAACACAGTTTCTAGATATCTGAATGAACTGTGGAGTAACAAGTGGCTCACCCTGGATGTGACATACATATATACAGGAAAAAGAAGCATGGTGCCAGAAAGTGTTATCACAGAGAACTAGGACACAAGTATAGCTAGTAATTAAATTCCTTACTGTAACACTGGACAACTTTCAGGATGATGCATTCTGATGGGTTTTCATTTCCAGCTGTTTCATCAGCTCAAAACAGCGTCCTTTCCTTAGACAATACAACCCTAAATTGTCAAAGTGTTGTGCAGGGATTTAGCCGTGTGACTCCCATTAACATCAATAAGAGTCGCACAGCTAAATCCACGCACTGTGCTTTGAAAATCTGCCCCACAGTGTACATCCCAGGGTGCTGAAAGGATTAAAGTATTATATAGTAAATTCCCTCTTTGAGGTGCAGAAAATAAACAGGACTCTTCTGGTTTGTTCTGGAAGGCTGTCTGTGCCTTACTGCTGTGTGTACATCTGAACTTAGAAATATCTATAAAATGTTCCACACCCAAACTGAAGCTTGTAAGATATATACAGTAACACGGTTTTGCAAGAGCAACTTAGCAATGTAAAAACTATGATTTCTTTCTTTACTTTTCAAAGTATGACTCCTGTACCATTACCACTCACACAAAATCTTCCTTTCTGCCCTGAGAGACCATGCATTTAGTCACATCCCACTGAAGCGGGACAGTCATAGTCATAGCCCCTTTGGTTCCAGAAGATAAGGCTATTAATGTCATATATATCTGGTTTTGAACATACAGTCAATTTCAAACTTCCTGATCACTAAACAGTTGGGTCACGCTTTGACTTGGATCTAACGTGAGTCAATGAGCTCATTATACAAAGAAGCTTAAACAGCTAAAGTGTGGGGATGAATGGAGGGAAGGACAAAGGTGGAGAATTTATTTGAAACTGATCCTTATTATTACAAGCAGTGTGGACCTCTGTGGGACTCACCTCTATTTCTGTCAGATCTGCATCTGTTCCTTGTGCTCTAACCCAATTACCTCTGCTTTCACATCCCATCATGGATACTGACTTGTCTTCCCATGGACAAGTCAGATGCGATACAAAGGTGACAAAAGCCTCGAGTGTGTGTTAGCCCATGAGACCATGGCAAATTCAACCAATATACCACATGTAAATTGTGACAGATGGCATGTCTAAACTAAGTTTGAACCTAGCAGTAGCTCAAACTTAAGACTGTATTTGGAAATAGCCATATCAGCCGAGAGGAGTTAAATACCAATGAAGGTATATTATATATTGTTAACTGCTCATTATTGTTACTTAATTTCTTCAGTTAAATGGTAGCTTCAGCGAAAGTTAATGATAAGGTCTTATTTAGAAGATGGGGTTCTGAAGGACTCCATTTTAGGGCCAGCTATTTTTAATGTTTCCAACAATTATTTGGATGCAGAACTTAAAAGCATTCTAAGTTTGTGGATGACACCAAATTGAAAGGAGCTGTTGAATTCCTTGACGGTAGAGAAGTTGTGCAGAGAGACCGAATTGGAGAGCTGGGCAACCACCAACAGAATGAAGCAATTGCCAGATTCTACACCCGGGATGGGGCAGATCTACATATGTTTATTGGCTCGGGAATAATAGGCTGGAAAGTAGTCCCACAGAAAGATAGCTGAGGATTCTGGTTGACAGCAAGTTGAATCAGGGCCAGCAGAAAGAACTGGAAGTCCAAAGGGCCAACTGTACCCCTAGGGTGCTCCAGATCCAGCACCACTGTCAGGTGAGGGGAAGGATTGTCCTGCTCTGTTCTGCGTTGTGCAGCCTCACTTCTATCACTGGGTGCCATGATATTAGAAAGACGTAAAACTATTAGAGAGCATCCAAAGGCATGATATGAAGGTGATGAAGGATCAAGAGTGCAAGATATGTGAGGTCCCTTGGCTTGCTCATCTCAGAGCAGAAGAGCTGAGGGGAGGCCTCATGGCAGCTGCAGCTCCTCACAGGGAGCAGAGGGGCAGAGCTGAGCTCTGCTCCCTGTGACAGAGACAGGGCCTGAGGGAACAGCATGGAGCTGTGTCAGAGGAAGGGCAGTCCCAGACAGGGACAGGATTCTGCTCCAAAGGGCACTGGGCATGTAACAGGCTGCCCAGGGCAGTGGGCACAGCCCCAGTTCTGGAGTTCAAGGACTCTCAGATACAGGGTTTGGATTTCAGGTGGTGCTGTGTGGAGCCACGAGTTGGACTCAGTGGTCCTTGTGAGTCTGTTCCAACTTGGATTCTATCATTCAAAATATGTATGAGAAGTTCTGAAGATATTACAGTCCTTCAAAGTGAAGTTGGCAATAAAGTTTATGTGTGAGGTACATAAAAAAGAAAGTTAGCTGACTGGGCAAACTAAAACATTCTTCAGAATGGAAGACAAAATCCACTGTCTCAAAAGTAACTGCATCAGGCATATATTGGGAAAAGCTATATGTCTGAAAAAATATCCACTTGTCATCAGTGAAGAACATAAAGGTCTCAAAGGTCTATCTACAGTGTATATTGGACATATTTCCAGGAGGTTTAGTTAAGGTGGTAAAAGCTGTTTTGCCATTCTGTGGTACATTTACTCCAATGCGTTATCTTGGAGATCTCCATTACTTAAAAGAGAGGAAAAAAGAGCTATCTGCAACACATGTTGACATCAACAGAAAATGAAATTGAGACCATGACAGTTAAGGAAGGGAGCAGAGCAACCTGATGACTGATACAGAACAATGTGTAGAAACTTTCATAATTAAAGGTGACACACAGCTAGTGGACATGAAAAAGCAGGAACTACTCCATACTGAGAAGATAACTTCTAGTCTCCACATGGAAAATAATGTCAAAAAAAGTTAGCAGTTACTTCAATTGCAAATTTGTCCTATTACCTTTAATTTCCCTAACTGTTTGGAATCTAAAAATTTTACATCTGAGGAATCAAGATGATACTCAGTTATACCAGATCTCTTTGACTCTCAGAAATGACATTTTTTCTCCAAAGGAAAGACTAGAGAATCACATCTCCTTGTTTTTATGTAACATATACTTTTCTTTAGACAGATTTGTTTCAAAGACTTATATCCTGAATGCAAGCATGAGTTCTATAAAAAAAAAAAAAATCATAAAATATTTAAAAAGCAGCCAAAGAGATACTGAAAAATGTTACCTGAGGTTTCTGTCTGCCAATAGGTGGCAGGGGCTCTCCTGTGGGGAAAGTTGGAGGTCTTTTACAAGTTGGCCAGTCATACAGATCATATGTGAAGGGACTCTTCACTCGCTGCTGCTTGTGGCTCAATGGCTTTGACTGCCGGAGCAGTAGTTCCATTGGATCTGGGGATTTTCTGAATGGCGAATTGTATATGCCTGCAATCTGAGTAGAAGATGAGGTTACTTTTGACTTCAACTAATTTACAGTTCTCTTCAACCAAGTGTTTAAATAGGATAACGTAATGTATCATCTGTGTTTCATTTCAGCCCCTTAAATGCATGTAACTTTCATTTTATGCAAGCAAACAAGAATTACACAGATGATCTTCATGTACCTGAAATTGTACCCTATGTACAATATAATACTTGCAATGTTCTTAATGCTCTTACAGTAGTTTTAAAGCTCAGTTGTTTTTGTTGTTTTTTTTTTCTTCTATTATATTTATTTGCTAAGAAGTAATGAATAAACAGAATAAAAAAGACATGCAGGGAAGATGCAGGGAAAGGTAAGTAAAAAAGTCTATGCTCCTGACCTTGTTTTTCTCCAGCCTCCTCCTAAAGTACAAACATCTTTGAGATAAAAGGACAATCCCCAATTAGCTCTACTGCATTTTTCATTAGCATATCCTACTGGGAAAACACAATTTCTTGTCTCAAAAAAGTTAAATAAGGCTCATTTCAACCTTACTTAATGGACAAAAATAATCAAAGATGGTAGCTTATTCAAAATATTTTTAGCAAATTCTAAGGGCCATAAGCTCAAATTCTGTAAGTGTCCTGGACCTGACAATATATTTTTGTCCATTAAGTCCATTCTCTTCTTTGTGTAAACTATACTATTATATTATCAGTGTAACTGTGTGATGGTAAAAAGGACATGAATAGAGAGATTAGTGGCAGACACATACCATTCCAAACAACTACTGGTTGTTCCTTCAGCTCATCAGCATATCAAACTAAATTACAGAGATCCATGCTTCAAATACCTGGCAAGCAGGATTAATCTGTGTGATTATAAGTGACTGCAAAATAGAAGTCCGTGTGTTATTCTGGGCTATAAGAAATGGCATTGCTTCTATAGTTCATATTTAGAGAAGTATGAATAGCCGTATGAGTTTAATGGTCTTCTGAAACTGCATTTTGTAATCTATATTGTGATACTATGCATGTTCTTGACATTTCTTTGTTCAAACGTTTGGCAGTAATGTGAATTTCATACAGTGTTCAAACACTGAAATGCAGCTGTCTCAAGGTGCACAAATTGGATTGACTTCTAGCACTTTTAATGACACCTAAATTAGCCATAATAGTTTTGGGAACCTGCTGATTCAGTGTCATTTGGATTACTATAGCTGAAAAGTTGCCTTAAGTAAGAGTAATGTTTTATTGCTCTGTTTTCACATATTATCAGGTTAAAAATACAAATAGTATAACAAATATGAAAACAGATTTGGATTTTTAGTGAGGCACATTTGTGAAGCCAGCTGGACACTTTACAAGATATTGTGCCTTCTACTATTGAAACTCTACTTAAGATCTGGGTCGAAATTAATTATGAAGTGCATTTTAACTAATGATTTTTCAAGCAATCCTGTTAATTACTTTACATTTTAATTATATGTGTTCAAGTATTCAAACAGACAGATAGCAGAGCAATCAGTAGAGTTCGTATCTGGATAGATAAAATTAATACTAATTTACTCTAAAATCCCCAAGGTTTGTGGGTGGGTTTTAAGCCTAGATTTAAAATTAGGAAAGTTTGGTAGGGGATGAGTTTGATTCCATTTTCTAGTTCAGATCAATCTCTGGTAAAATTGCTTCCATTAATTTTAAAATATCTCTGCAAATCAGAGTCATTTTTGCAATTTATTCACTCTACCCTCTGCAGAGAGATGGCAGTATGCAGAAATATAAGAATCTGAATGATCAAAGCCCTTGGCATTTAATAGATTTTCATATCTTCTTGAAACAATTACTATAGGTTAAAAGCTTTAACTTCATCTTTTCCCTGCTTAAATACAATATCCTCTCAACTACAAAACTACTGTAGTTAGGACCACTTTTTTAATATAAAAAAATATCATGAAATACTAACTCATACTTTGATTTCAATATTTTCTTCACCTTTAGTCCACAAGAATATATTTTACCCTCCAAAATATTATGATAGGTTACAGAAAGTATCTCTTCTGTAGGGAGTATGACATTTTTCTGTACTCGTGTTCTTCAAAAATCAGAAAGTCCTCTGTCAAAACCAGATTTCTGGGACTTCATTTCCAGAAACAATTTTCCAAAGTGACAAACACTATGGGGAAATCTATGCTACTTTTAAAAAACCTGCAGCTGAGTTATTTGCAGTACTGTCATGCCAGCTTCCAACTCAATAAGACCAAGGTAATCTCAGGAGGCGACTCTGCTAATAGCTTCTTGCTGACCTCCTTGCATCAGCCTCTTCTGCTGAATGGTGGCCCAGTGGTGAATATGGCAAATGAGGTGTGAAAGCACAGATTTATTTTTTTATTTATTTTTATAAGACTATGGTTCTCACCCGTCAGAGAAGGAAAAAAAAGAAGAAAAGAAAAGAAAAAGGAGGGAGAGAAATGAGTTATAGAATAGATATATTTTTCCCCTAGAATTCTCGGCCTCAGACCTTCCATCATGGAAACCCAAGCATGACCTGGAATATTAATTGTGTCAGGTCAAGCATACTGGCAAATGTACCATTTGTTACCCAGTCATCCTTAGCATTACATTAATATTTTGAATGATTTTGCATTTCTAACACTCTATCATCTAGTTTCTCCCAAATATTTTCTTACATGTGTAATTAATGATGGCATACTAAATTTTTTTTTTTAAATTTGAAAAAATAATTTTGTGTGTTGTTGTTTTTATTTTTAATATTCTGTATCACTTCCACCTCTAATTTTAAACTCAATGTATGCTGCAGAATGGCCTTTTTTTTTGTCTCCATCTCCTTATTCTTTCCAGAAACAGAGAAAAATTTAATTGATATTTCTTCCCAGAATTTAACAAAGAAATTATTTAGAAGCTTGCCTTGAAAACAAAACTATGCAGCAAAAGAAACAAAGTGTGAGGAAGAAAGTGGAGAAAGAGAAAAGGCACAAGTAGAAAGGAAAAGAGACAACAGTGTTGATTATGTTAGATATTTCCTCAGAAAAGATCAGTGATAATGAGTGGTATGATAAAATGGAAACAATGATGTTGCAATTTTACTTATGAATTAAAATATATCTTATTCCTTGACTGTAAGTAATTAAATCTACATCCACTATTCCAAACTATTCATGCCCTAGCAGATACAGTGTAGCAACTGCTTTGCGAATTATTACATACATGCAAAATTAAAAATCAACAACATGAGTTAAAGAGAAACTGCAAGTATGAAGTCAATAGAAAATGTATCCTCACACATTAAAAATACAATTTACTGTAATTAAAGAGAACTATAATAAAGATAAGTTTTAATTTCCTTTTCATATCAACTCCAAAATTCTAAAATAATATTTATAATGAATATAAATGCTTCTATTAACAGTCATTTAATTTTGAAAAAAATATCTTGGAAGTGGTCTTTGCAAGAAATTGTCACAATAAGACCATGAATAAGGCTCTATTTTCTAACTCTGCTCTCTTAATAATGTCTTAAATAAATCCTTCTTCAAAATGCATGTAAGGAGACAGAAAAGACTTCAGCAAAATAGGGACTCAACTCAAAAATCCTTTTTTTCTCCACTGTAATTTGTAAAAAAACTAAGCAAGCTAAGAGAAGAGGTAAAAGATCTCTAAAAGCCATAAAAGTAAAAGCATGAAGGAGAGCTGTGAATGAAATATTTGCTAGAGAAGGGATTGCTGAATCAACACTGACCAGTGCACTTCATCATAATTATCAGGACATACTACTGCCAGGGGATTTATAAAAATCCCACTCAGCAAATAATTGCCCTGCTGTTAGGAGATAGTCGGAGTGTTAACACACTGTCACAGTCCAGCGTTTAGTAAGATATTCAACATTCAATTACTCTTGCTGAGAACTAAAAGGAAACATGATCGTTTCTCAGCTACTGCAGTTATGCTTCCACATGAATTCCAGTGAACAATCTTGTTAATCCCCAGATATAGTTTCTCTGGGAGGTAAAAGAAATACCTTAAAACATTAATGATTCACAAGAAAAACCCTTGTTTAAATGATCCTGCAGCCACATCTGCAAGAAAAAATAGATTTAAAACTTCTAAATACATAGCTTATTACAGCCTGTCAAAATATTCCATGCATTATGAAAACAGGATATCTGTAATGTGACATTTATTGGGTAAATATTCATCTATTAAAATTCTGTGTAATAATAATCTAGCAACAAGTACAGTGAAATGATGTCCACTAAATCAAATTTGAAACATCAAAATATTTAAGACACATTACAGTGGCTTAACAGGAATAATCTGTTACTTTAAACTAATATGAATATATATTTTTATGAACAATTAATAAAAATAGTGTGAATTTTATTGATATATTGGAAAAATATCATGGTCTGGTTCACCATTCGAATTCAAAATAAAATTTTCTTACAATGGCTGACAATAGAAAAACCGTCACCCAATTTTATAAATGACAGTTCAGTGCTCAACAAGATAATGCTACTTTTTAGGCCTGATCCTGTAAACTTTAATTAAAAAAAACTATAAATAATAAAAATATACTCTAAGGAATTGCTTCTAAAAGAATTGGAGGACATTGCTTGTGATTGTAGTTAAGGTATTTTAACTTTCAGATAGCACTTTTATTCAAAGACAGAAGAATTCATAAATGAGTGATGACGAGTGTATATTCTTTCAAGTGGGATTAATTACCTGTCTTCTGCTTAATATAAATACTGTTTAAACAGAGTAATAGAAGCATTAATTATTGTTATTCTGCCTTCAGATTTTAAAGCTTGGTTCAGTCCTTTTCATCTGTGAAATGTTTGTTTGATATCAAAACAATAACGCAATCACACTTTAAATGCACGGTTAGGAGTAAACTAGGCTGTAATTTTATAGACTATACAAAGAGGTGTCAATGTAACATTCAGGTCTGGTACCCTGCTCACAAATCATAAAATCAACCATGAACCCTGCAGAGACACTAAGCTCAACTGC